ACGCATGAACCGAGTTGGCCCCCATATAAACCCCCTCGCCGGAGCTCCGACGACCTCGCCGGAGCATTGCCGTGGCCGTAAGGCCATTCAGGTTAGTCTTCCTGACCTCGTTTGATGTTTTGATGGTTGATTGAACCGATTTAGATGGCTAAGGCGGCTAGTGTTAGGATTTGAATTATGGAAAATGAAAATGTAAACAGTGTGAGTTAGGTTTTTTGGGCCGGTTTTTCGCCGGCCGGCGAGGGTCTGGTGGCGATCTAATTAGGTTAGTTTGATAATATAATACATGGACTTGCTAATGGGGCAGTCAGACTGACCAAAAGGTCGCTGGAGGATCGCCGACTGTGAGCTCAAACCGGCGGCCTCGAAAACCTTGAAATGGAAGTTGTGCAAACCAGGTATTTGTGAAAATGCCTAAATGAAAAATACTTCAAACGACGCCGTTTCGGCGTTGGGCTCGCCGGAGAAGACGACCGGCGATGGCCTGTTCGGTCTCGGTCGAACCGGTCCGGTTCGGTCCGGTTCATTCCCTTTGGCGGGAAAATTCGAAAATAAATAAAAAATAAAAAAATAGAAAATTATAAAAAAAAATACTAAAAAATCATAAAAATCACAAAAATTAGATTTTCTTAGAAAATTAAAAAAAAACATAAAATTCATAAAATTCATAAAAATTCAAAAAAAATTACAGAAAATTCAAAAATTTTCAGAAAATCCATAAAAATTTCGAAAATTCAGAAAATACAAATAAAAAATTTGAAAATTCTGGAAAATCAATAAAAAATTGAAAAAATTGGAAAATTCACAAAAATTTCCAGAAAATCATAAAAAAATCATTTTCGATTTTAAAATTTTTCCGAAAAAAAAAATTTAAAATTTTGAAAATCCACAGAATGATTAAAAAGTGATATTTGGATTTTCCAAAATGCCCAAGTGGTATAATTTGGAAAATTCCAAATTTAAGGCCAAAACCCCTAAAAAAAACCCTAAACCCTAAACCCTAAAAAATGAAATGAACAAGCTATTTGAGCTTTGTTAGGGTTTGGATAAGTTTTCATTTCTAGTGGCCAAATTAGGGTTGCTATGATTGATTTGCCATTGGATGTGCATTTGATTCTTGGATGCTTAATTGTTTGTCCATGATTAGATTAGTGAAGTGACCTTAGGGATCCGTGTGACGCATTAGACATGCCATATCGTTCTTAGGTACCGAAAGGGCGTTAATGGTCTCAATTTGGGATCGTTAACCTAACCAAGTCCCTTATCCAGAATCTTTGGTTCGTAGGATTGCGGTACTTCTCCCGTACCTCAATTAGGTTTCTAGTCGACCTACCGTAAATGACTAGTGGCGACTCCAAGTTTAAATTTAGATCAAACGAACCCCGCTGTCACGTGAGGTATGGTCTGGGAGAGACCCGTATAGAAAAATACCTCCATCCTAAGCACGCAAGAGCGTGGCGCGACAACTTCCCCACTTTTGCTACTTGTGTGGGGTAATTGGGCATTATGCAAAAAGTTGTGAACTCGTGCCTTATGAGGTCGAACTCCTTTCCAAAACTGAAAAACTGTTTTACGAGTCCTGGCTAAAAGCTGAAGAGAACTCCATTAGTCCATTTTGGACGGCCTTTTATGGAGAAATTTTGGAGGTGGAAGAGGAGCAGGAGATGGTAATGGAAACCAGAAAACTCTGGATTGATTACCTTGTTCAGAATAATGCAAGCAGCCCACACACAAGACTGAACAATTTGCAAGAGGATAGGGGAAAGAGGAAACTAACAGAAAATGAGCTTTTAGCCCTAGTGAGCACTCCAGAAATCAAAGAAGATGCTGATCCTGATTCAGCTATTATGCTGCTGATTGACATATCTTCATCGCAGACAGCGGGCGACAGACTACAGAGCAAAAATAGAAAATTTAAGGTAAAGAATCATAAGAAGGGCAGAAGATTTGGTCCGTATGATTAGAAAATTTTCGAAGGACAATTGCTGGATGAAACACAGCTGTTAGAAACTTCGGTGCAACTTGCAAAAGAACCCAATCAATGGGCTTTGGTGGTTAGCCCTAATAAGCCACCGGGTTACAAATGAAGCTGTTCTGTTGGAATTGTCAGGGGTTGGGCACACCCTTGACAGTTCAAGCCCTAAGGGCCATTATGGTCTAGGAAAGGCCCGATGTGGTATTTTTTATGGAGACCAAGAATCAGGAAACTACAGTTCGTCGCGTAAGCAGAAATTTAAACTTCCAAAACTGCTATATTGTTAATCCAATAGGGATTGGGGGGGGGGGGGCTTGGCTTTGCTGTGGAAGGTTGGAATTCCCTTGACTGTTAATTCATCCACAAGTGAGTTCATTGATATTACTCTTCAGGATGATGAGATGGGTATACAATTCAGGGCTACCTTTGTTCATGCCCCAACATGGTTTCAGGACAAATTAAAATTATGGGAAGAGCTGAAGATGCTGAGTATCCAGAACACCTTGCCTTGGGTGTGTATAGGGGACTACAATTAAATCTTGAATTACTGGGAAAAGCTAGGGAAGAGGCCTCCGGAACAATATAGACTGAATGCATTTAGAGATTTCATTAATGCTTGTGGTTTAATGGATTTAGAGAGTAAAGGTTGCGCATTCACTTGGGCGAACAATTGAGAAGGGCAGGACTATGTTAAAGAAAGACTGGACAGAGCTGTTTGCAATATCGAGTGGAGAATATCATTCCCTCAAGCTGAGGCTTTCGCTCTACCAGTCATCGGATCTGATCATAGCCCTATCTTATTGATATTATCAGCCGAACCTCCTAAGAGAAAGACAATTTTTAAATTCGAAGCATTTTGGCTGGAACATGAGGATTGTGGGAGAATAATCACACAAATTTGGAATCAAGATAGATTACAACATTCTAATCTAGTGCAGAAAATACATGAAGTTTCCAGAGGATTGGCAACATGGAGTATGAAAACCTTTCTGAACAGCCACAAGAAGATCAAAGTATTGCAAGAAGAACTCATGGGCTTAACAAATGATCACAATTTGCAAAATAGTCAGAACAGAAAGAGGGCCATTACTGAATAGATTGCAACACTGTGGAGACAGGAGGAAATGTACTGGGGAATAAGGTCTCGAATCAATTGGCTGAAGTGGGGTGATAAGAACACAAAATATTTCCACGCCACAACAATTCAAAGAAGACAGAGGAACAAAATATCGATGCTTAAAAATGCAGAAAACATATGGATTTGAGATCCGAAGAGGTTAAAAGAGATGACAATTGACTTTTTTCAAGAACTCTATAAATCAGAGGGCCCCCGAGAATTTGAACCTGTTTTGCAACAATGCCCCACTATTGTCACGGCTGAGATGAACCAATTCTTGACAGCTCAAATCACAATGGAAGAGGTCCAAACAGCATCTTTTCAATTGGGCTCGTTGAAGGCTCTGGGACCTGATGGCTTGAATGGCCAATTCTACCAAAGAAATTGGGAAAGTATAAAGAATGGGGTTTTTGAAGAAGTGAAGGACTTTTTTCATTCTGGTAATCTAAACCCAGAACTTAACAGAACATATATCACCTTGATCCCAAAAGTTCATCACCCGGAAGGCTTGGATCAATTCAGACCAATCAGCCTATGCAATTTTGCATACAAAATTATTTCGAAAATCATGGCAAATAGATTGAAACTGTGGCTGCCAGCTATAATAGAAGGAGAACAAAGTGCTTTTGTGGGCGGTAGACAAATACAAGACAATATTCTGGTTGTTCAGGAAGTCGTCCACCAATTGCGAATCAGAAAAAGGAAAAGAAAATTCCAGGCAGTGGTGAAACTTGACATGAAAAAAGCCTATGATAGGATAGAGTGGGATTTTCTTGAGGCTAGCATGTTGAAAATGGGGTTTAGTGACTGGTGGGTGCGGAGAGTAATGAAATGTGTCACTTCTGTCTCTTTCAGTGTAAAATTAAGTGGAGAATCATTACCCTACTTTAAGCCAACACGAGGGATAAGACAAGGGGACCCCATATCTCCCTATTTGTTCATTATAGTAGCCAACACACTCTCCATATTGATGAAAAAAGCAATGTAAGATAGCACAATTTCTGGTATTAAACTCAATAGGTACTGTCCAGTCCTATCTCACCTCCTTTTTGCTGATGATTCCATATTCTTCTTAGACGGTAAGCTCATCGAATGTCAAAATCTTGGATTGATTCTCAATCAATATTGCTATGCATCTGGGCAAGCAATTAACTTAAACAAGTCTGGAATCTTCTTTGGCTCATGCTGTCCACAGAGTTTAAGAGATAATATGGCAGCTGAACTTAGAATCCCAGAGATCCATAAGACTGGCAAATATTTAGGGATTCCTTTAGATTGGGGTGAATCCAAGAAACAAATGTTCACGTGGATTTTGGCAAGAGTCAATATGAAATTAGAGGGGTGGAAGGAAAAGTTAATCTCAAAGGCAGGGAAAGAAACCCTGATTAAAACTGCTGTTCAAGCTCTTCCCCAATATGCGATATCAATATTCAAAATTCCAGTTTCAATTTGTAAGTCCATAGAAAGAAAGGTTGCGGCATTTTGGTGGAAGAATAGTGAATCGAATAAAGGCCTTCACTGGAAGAGGTGGGAAGTTCTCAAAACTAGGTAAGATCAAGGGGGAATGGGATTCAGAGACCTAATATCTTTCAATAGAGCAATGCTTGGCAAACAAGCATAGAGACTTTCTCAAAATCAGTTATCCATATGGAGCAAAATCCTCAAAGGCATCTATTTCCCTATAAGGTCATTCTGGCGAGCTGGGAAGGGGTCTCGGCCCTCATGGGGATGGCAGAGTATTCTGATGGGGAGAGATTCGATATCGAACTCAGTAATATGGTCGGTTGGCACAGGGGAAAGAATCAATATCCGAGAAGATAGGCGGCTAAACAAGGATTAATAAGAGGACCAGCAACTTCTCGAGAACCAGCCAGAGTTGCAAACCTAATCCAAAATGAGAATAGAAGATGGAATGAAGATTTGCTAGCAAGAATGTTTGATGAGCAGACTGTTAACGAGGTGTTAGCAATACCACTATGCAGTCATGCAACACAGGACAAACTTGTGTGGACAGCTACAAAGTCGGGGGTCTTCTCAGTGAAAAGTGCATACAATCGGATTCATCAAAAGGAAAACACACAAAATGCAATGCAAGCCTCATCATCTTTCAAGCCATCCCGCAAGCTATGGTGCATAATCTGGAATTTAAAAATCCCACCCAAGGTTAGAATATTTCTATGGAGTGTATGCCAAAATGCTCTCCCCACAGCAGAAAACCTCTATAGGAGGAAAATCTTACCTCGACCAGCATGCCCCTTCTGTGATCAGGAAGCTGAAACGGTAGAGCATATATTTCTTCTCTGCCCCTGGACCGAAGCTATCTGGACAGATCCCTCAGTACAGATCAGAATCGCACGTCAAGAAATAACACGGATTGAGGTATGGATTCATAACTATAAACTACGGCTACATAAATTGCTGAATCTAGATGAAATGGCCATTCTTTTGTGGTTGATCTAGAAGGCCAAAAATGAATTTGTGTTTAGGAAAAAACCCCTAAATCCGAGCACCCTAATTGAGTCGGCAAGAATGATAATGCAAAATTATAGGAAGTGGAATCATCAAAGCTCTATTCTGCATGCTCAAAAGAGCCTTTTACCTCTGTGTTGGAAACCACCGATGAGAAACTCCTTCAAAAGCAACATAGATGGATCCTTCCTTGGAGATGCAGCAAAAGGGGCGGTTTTTGGAATCCTCAGAAATGAAGCTGGTACCTTGCTGGAAGGCTTCGCCAGGACAGTACCCGCGACCTCGCCGTTGCACAAAGAACTGCAAGCTTTGCTACATGCTCTAGACTACTTCGTCGACAGGAGAAAAGATGGAATTGTGATAGAAACTGATTGTCTTGAAATAGTAAAGAAGCTGCAGGACCAGAGAGAAGTCGGCTGGGATTAGGCAGCTTTCATCAGAGAAGCACATATCCGAATGGCCCAATACACAAACCTAACTGTGGCCCATTGCAATAGATCTGCAAATCAAGCTGCCGATTGGGTTGCCAAAGCGCAACGTACAAATTCTCTTTTTTCATCTTGGCTAACCCGTCCCCCCCAACCTTTATGGGAGTTGTTATGTTTTGATGACCCTTCGTCGGGTTGTAGTTTCAAGAACACTTAATTTTCAATCAAAGTATTTCTTTTAGACAAAAAAAAAATTGATTTTTTGGGATTTTTAATTCCTTTGACAAATTGTGCAATTGGACCGACCAATATGTAATTCAAGGTCCTAGAATCATTTGTTGTGAAGACACTATGGCCTAGAAATGACTAGAAATGGTTTAATAGAATTTTTTATTCAACTAGGGTTTGATTTTACCCAATTTTGGAAAAACACATTCCCAATTGAAATTTTCTAAAATTGATGCTGTATTGATGAAATTGGATTTAAAATAAGATTAATGGCTATTTTTATGGAATTTTTGGATTACATTTGCTATTTTTCTTGATTTTCTCTCTTGTTTTGGCTTAAAGAAATTAAGGAAAAATTCTAAAAAATTCTAAAAAATTAATTTTGGTTTAGAAATAGGTTCCAAAGCTTGGCCACGGTTCCTAATCCTAATTTTATGATTTTTTAAAAATTTTAAAACATGAGCTAAAAATCATGTGTCAACACCGGGTCGAACTAGCTCAGACCGGTCCGACCAAGTCAGATCGGCCTAGCTGGCGCAGGTGGGCATGGTGCCAAAATGACACTGTTTTGGCTCTTTCTCCATTTGGGCATTTAACCAAACACTTGGTGGGCATGAATTGCGGATTTACCCTTTCGGGGCCGCCAATTTGGCTGCCATTCCAGTGGCTTTCCGGCCACATTCCGACCAGCCTAACCGGTCCTGATCCTTCACCGAATGACCATTTACACATCCATACCAATTTTGTTGCCATTGGACACCCCTAAGCCATCGATTTTTAATCTCAAACTTCCTTACTTGACATGATTTTTCTGGTTTTTCAATTTTAACCTTGTCGGGGTAGCCACTTTAACCTAATCTCCGGTGACCTTCTGGCCACATTCCGGCCATTCCATTTTCCAAAATCTTCACTAAATGTCCCTTTGCACATCTATGTCCATAAAATGACCATTTGACATTTCTAAGCTATTGATTTTCGAGTTCAAACTTCCCTACTTATCACTGAAAATCATCACATAATCTAACATGTCTAATCATCAAATCCAGAGCATCCTAACCGTTTCTAGCGATCAAACATCAATCAAGGGATAAGAAAAACTGACTTGGATCAACCAATAGCCATGGATCACACTCCGGAAAGGTTTTTGGAGCTCCGGCGAAGGTTTGTTAATAGCCAACTCAATGCGATTCTCATTTCACCGATCCAAAATGCAACAAACAACAAACCACATGATCAAAACCATGAAACAATGTTCAATAAGCAATTTGGAACAAAGAAGTTTCAGAAATCGCACACGAATCGATTCGGTCACTCATTTAGACATTTTACTAAACACGTAACGTGTGACTATGAAGCAACTTTACCTTCGTCAATGGAGGTCACAACGGAAATTCCGAGACAAACTGAGGCTACGGAATGATTCACCAACATTCCCTCTTCAAGATGATGGCATTCACCTCGCCGGGAAGGTCATTGATCGCCAAAAAAGCAACAGTTTCAGTTGCTCACGATCAATCGGTTCGGCAGAAATAAGGAGGGGAGGTCTCGACCGATCTCCGATTTGCCGGTGCTCCGCCATCTAGGGCGGCGCCAGATGCTTGGGAGAAGACCTCAGACCCTCTCTCTCTAGTTTTCTCCCTTTGGTTTCGCTCGATTTCTCTCTCTCTCTCTCTCTCTCTTGGGCATTCGGTCAAGCATGTATTCTGCTTGGATAATGACTTTCCCCCCTTTTTCTACTCCTCCCCGAGGCGGTTTATCACCCCTAACCAACCCGAAATCGATTAGAAACGATAAGGAATGGACAGCCGGAGATTCTCTAACTGTCCATTCCGTTTAACACGTGCTGGAATAGCTTTAAAATGTCGGTTAAAGGAGCGGAGCCGAACCTGTTTTTTCTCTTTTCCAAGCATGCAAGTTTGGGCGGGTGGAGAAGAAACCATTCCGAGTCGGGTCGAGTCGATCCGACTGACCCGGAAGCCCCGGTTTGTTCTAATTTTGTAAATTCGACTCGATTTTGATTCAATTTTTCAAATGTAACCCCAAAAATGGATTCCTTAGCACATTTTACATCAATATATGATATTTATACCAATTTTTGTCACAATTAAACCTAGATATTCCCAAATTTCAATTCGAATCAAGAGTTTTTGTTCAATGCAGTGTGCAAATGACCTAATTGAGCAAAATTGATGCCAAAATTGAATTACTCATGGCTTATTAACCCTAGGAAAGGTCTGGGTCTTGATCGAAAATTTCAAATTGAATGAGATTCCCTATTTGGGTCTTAAAATCCCTAAGGCTTTTCAATTATTTTGTTAAATTGTGAAATTGGATTGACCAATATGCAATTCAAGGTCCCAGAATCAATTTTTGTGAAGACACTATGGCTTAAATATGACTAAATATAACAAAATTGAATTTTTGGTTCAATTAGGGTATGAATTTACCCGATTTTGGGAAAAACATATCCCCAACTGAAATTTTCAAAAATTGAAGCTTCAGTGATGAAATTGGAATTAAAACAAGACTAATGGCTAATTTTTTGAAAATTTTAAGTTCCATTTGGTATTTTTCTTGATTTTTGACTCATTTTGGCCGAAAGAAAATAATGAAAAATTCACAAAAATTCTAAAAAAATTATTTTTGGTTTAGAAATAGGTTCCTAAGCATGGCCAACGTTCCTAATCCTAATTTTGTAATTTTTTTAAAAAAATTAAAACATGGGCCAAAAATCATGTATCAACAACTACCCCTCTTTGATATTAAGCTTGTCAGAGGTTGATCTCAAAGACAATGTGACACTTGATTTTTTAATCAACTCTACTGAAATTTGCAAAAATTGAAGCTTCAGTGATGAAATTGGAATTAAAACAAGACTAATGGCTAATTTTTTGAAATTTTTAAGTTCCATTTGGTATTTTTCTTGATTTTTGACTCATTTTGGCCGAAAGAAAATAATGAAAAATTCACGAAAATTCTAAAAAAATTATTTTTGGTTTAGAAATAGGTTCCTAAGCATGGCCAATGTTCCTAATCCTAATTTTGTAATTTAAAAAAAAATTAAAACATGGGCAAAAAATCATGTGTCAACAACTACCCCTCTTTGAGATTAAGCTTGTCAGAGGTTGATCTCAAAGACAATGTGACACTTGATTTTTTAATCAACTCTACTGACAAAAAAAACGAAAATTTCACAACAATTGATTAGGGATCTTGCTTTAAAGTTCTTGACCCAATCCAATTTTTCACCTTTGGCACATTTGAGAAATTTTTAGTAATTAAGGGAAAGAGAAACTTACCTGATTGTGAGCGCTTCTTTGCTGATTATCTCAAAGTGTGAATTGATGATGGTATTGATTGTGATGAATTAAATTCTGATCTCGTGGTTTAAGGATACGCCCACAAACCATGTGGTTTTATGGATCCACTAACCTTATGATTTAAGGATATACCCACAAACCATATGAAATAGTCTTTTGAGGCTACGGACTGCGATCACTTGCAGGAATTTGGAGGTTGCTAGTCTGCGATCACTTGCAGAAGGACTATGAAAAAGGCCACTACACTTGATGGGCCAAAAAGTCATCCAAGGCTACAGGCTGCAATCACTTGCGGAGGGTGATAGCTCCGAGGCTACATACATGTGTACACTTGAAAAGACTATTAAAATCACCATATTCAAAGCTACAAGCCGCGATCACTTGCGGAGGATTATAACTCCGAGGCTACAACTTGCAATCTGCTTTAGAATACCTCAAAACTTTGTAAAGTCAGGGTTTAAGGAAAGACCCAGAACCGTGATTACCTAGGGCTCCTCGCCCGAGGATTTGGTAATTTTCCTGGTGGGTCCTCGCCAACAGGTCTTGAAAAGACTCAAACAATGAGTACCTGGTCCTCCTCGCCCGAGGATTTGATGATTTGCCTTGTGGGTCCTCGCCAGCAGGTCTTGAAAAGATTCAAACAATGAGTACCTGGGGTTTCTTGCTTGAGGATTTGGTGATTTGTCTGGTAGGTCCTCTCCAGCAGGTCTTGAAAAGACTCAAACAATGAGTACTTGGGATTCCTCGCTCGAGGATTTGGTGATTTGCCTGGTAGGTCCTCGCCAACAGGTCTTGAAATGACTCAAACAATGAGTACCTATGACTCCTTGCCCGAGGATTTAGTGATTTGCCTGGTGGGTCCTTGCCAGCAGGTCTTGAAAAAACTCAAACAATGAGTACCTAGGGCTCCTCGCCCGAGGATTTAGTGATTTGCCTAGTAGGTCCTTGCCAATAGGTTTTAAAAGACTTAAACAATGAGTACTTGGGGCTCTTCGCTCGAAGATTTGGTGATTTGCCTGGTGGGTTTTCGCCAGCAGGTCTTGAAAAGACTCAAATAATGAGTACCTTATGGTTTTAGGTTGATCATGAACCGTGTGGTTTTAAGGATCTACCAACCCTTGTATGGTTTTTAGTTGACCATATACTATTGGGTGAAACGTGATTTTAAGTTTATCACAAACTAGTTTAAAATTTTGGTTTTAAGTTGATCAAAAACTGTTCGAAAATTTGGTTTTAAGTTTACCAAAAACTGGTGAAATGTGATTTTTAGTTGACCACAAACTATTTTGAAATTCAGGTGACTTTGATTTGTAAATATACATTCCTTGTGTCAATGCATTTAAACAATCAAATTCCTTTTGAAAGGATATATCTGAGCAAATTGCTTGAAATCTTTCAAGAAATGCTTAGAATAATCATTTGGAAAACCTTCCTTAGAAATGATTTATCTCAATCTATGAGCTTGGTCAAGTCTTCATCTGTCAATACGGGAATCGCTCAGTGTTTCTCAATTTATCTCACATAACCAATCTTCGAGTATTTGGAGATATTCGCAATGTGTACAATCCGATTGATCCGATAAGGTCTTTCTGGAGGATTATAATGTAGGCTTGGTCAATGGC